TCAGCTGAAGGGTTCCTCCCTCTGCTGGACACAGAAAGACAAACGGACGCTTGTTAGACGAGTTTCTGAGGACGTCTGGTTCTGGTTCTGCTCAGAGTCGTGAACCAGGTCCGGTTTGGAAGCTGCTTTCAGCCCAAACGTGTGTTTAAATCACAGAAAACCTGGTCGGTGGTTAGCAGATCTCTGACCGTCTGAATCCTTTCTGAATCCTTCAGACACACTTCGGCTGCAGCTTAACGAGCAGGAAGTGGAATTAGACCAAAACTGGTTTTTAGTTTCTGAGAATTTACTGAAAACCACAAAAAGCCTCAAAGATAAAAACCAAACCTGCTCCTGATGAAGTTCACCGTCAGCAGGTTGTTTTTAATGAGCAGCTGTTTGAAGCTTTTTAGAAACAATTTAAAGAAAATAATAAAAAAGCTGCTTGATGCTTGTTCGGCTGAACTTTTTTTATCTTTTCTAAATGTTCTTTTTCCTGTTTTTTCTGCTCTGAGCCGCGGATCTGATCCGATCTGGGCTGAAATCGGACTGTCAGTCTCTAAACCTTCCAGAGGTTTCACAGGTTTCCTCTGCAGACGTCAGACTCTCACCAGAACCAGAACAACGAGCAACCAGTGGATCAGCAGGAAAACAGCTTCAGTTACAGAAAACTGTCTGAAACCTTTCATGAACAGTTCAGACAAAGTTCAGCCTGAAACCAAACAGCTGATGTTGTCTCTGAGAGTTTCTGTTCGTTACTGACGCTCGATGTTGGAGAACTCATCACCTCAAAACCACCAAACTGCAGAAGAACCGTCGGTCGGTTCAGAAGATTTGACCTCAGACCTGGAAACGATGTGACTAAAGACGAGATCATCAGCCGTCGTTAAGGCGGTGACGTCCGTCCTCGTTACGCTGATGATCGACGTCTTTACGTGTTCGTTTAGAATCGGAGCTTCCTGCTGCTTAACGAGTCGTTTAAAGACCGACCTGATTGGTTCAGTGTTTACCATGAATTCTGCTGCCAGAGGCTGAAATGTGCTTCTAGAGCAATAAAACAATAAATCACAATAATAATCATAGTAATAATAATAATCATAAACGAACCCCAGAACGCTGTAACGATCCAGATCTGCACCAACTGATGAAGATAACGATGAAGATAACGAAGATGTTTTTAGCTGATTTTAAAACTGTTCTATGACATTTGAAGCGACTCACAGCTCTGACCTGCCTCCTGTTTGTTTGTTTGTTTGTTTTTACATTTAAAACACGTAAACAAACACGTTGATCTGATGGACAGCGTCTATAAACCAGGTGATGGATCTCCATCCAGACTTTCACCTTCTCCAGATGTTCACGTCGCAGCTCGTCTCAGGAGGTGAAGCTCCGCCGCTCCGTCTCCGCCAGCCTCCCTCCTCCTCTTCCTCCTCCTCCTCCTCTTCCTCCTGCTGCTGCCTTTATCCCCTCGCTCGGAGCAGACGCAGTGTTTCCGTGGCGATGAGCCTGGCGGTGGGATGTTGCAGGAGGAATCAGACGTGCAGCGTTCTGCTCGCTGCTCT